TTTTTAAAATATAGATTAGACAAACCTATTTTTAAAATTAATACAACAGTCACTGTAACACAACAAATGAGCTGTAACAGCCTAGCAGCATTATTTTGTTCTAAAGGTGTACGTCTTAATAGTAAAACTTTGAGATTCTCTCTTTTTTTTTTTTTTGAACATGGGAAGGGAGGTTTACAATTATTAGAACCAAAGTTTTAGCCTTGGTATACATGCACCTCATTCAATACAACAAGTGCTATCCAATGCAATAAGTGCTGTGGGTGCGTAAAAATTTGAGATTCTAAATTTAAAAGAGGTGGGGTTTTTTTTATTATAATTTGAAAGAGATAATAATTATTATTATTATTAAAAAATAACAGCATTTATTAGCAAATACAATAGTGGCAAAAATAGCATTTAGCAGCTTCTTAAGGATGACTTAGTAATTGAAAGCTAAATCTCTATTTTGAAAGTTTTAAATTCAAATTTTAGAATAAATAAGAGGGATTTAAAAAGGAAAAAACTATTTTTGTTTGAATAATTTAACATCCGCACTTCACAAGTGCGGTACTTAAAAATCTTTTTGTAAATTCTACTCTATATATCTAATCTTCTCCGTTGTCTACCAGTTTAGACATTTTAGAATATGAAAATTCCTTTGTTTTGGCTGATAAAGAACCTTTCTCCAGTTTAGCCTTCCCATTTTGTAATTATTAGAGTTTATGTAGAAAAACTTCTTACGAATAGATTTGGTAAGTGAAAATGAATAACAGTTATGCAACAAAAAACAATAAATGCGTTTTTTTTTTCTTTTTTGTTTTTTGCCATCAAACAATAAATGGATTTGGTTCCTTAACTTTCACTAAAAATGCAAGATCATCCTTGAATTTCAATTCAAAACAATGAAGTGCCTTAATTTTGGAAAAGCTACTGCAACTAAGGAATAAGGATTAAGAAACCAATTACAGAATAAATCAATATTCCAAATTTGGTTCAAAATAGAATTTTGGGCCAAAATGCAATTTTGGTTATTTATCGATAAAACTGTTTTGGTCCATCATCTTTCATCAATTGAACACTTGATCCTCTTAATTCTGAATTCTTCATTTTGGTCCTAATAGTTTTAATTTCTTCCAATTAAGTTCTTTTCTAACCAAAAAATGAATATTATGCAAAACCAAGTAAAAATTCATGAAATTCATCTAAATATCAATGATATCAAGGTAAAAATTCCACATTAATATTTGTGAAATTCTAATATATCCATTCTTAATTTATATAAAGGAAGAGAGAGGAAGACAAATGGTTTTAAAAGGGATATATAATGATTGAAAGATATATATGCAATAAATTATTGTGAAAGAACAATAGAGAGGAGAGGATAATGAATAAAAAATAATAAAATAAATTATTAATATAGAGAAGGATTTACAAAGAACATTGATATAGATATCCTTGACAAGTGTTGTTAAATCAGAGAATGTATTAGCAGTTTTCCTTTGCAAAGATATATCCATACACAAATACATGAAAATAAAATGAGAGAGTAAAAATAAAATGGATGCAAAAATGTAATAAAAGTGTAAAATAATGTGAAAAAAATCAGTTTAAAAAAGAGAAATGAAGAGAAATACATGTACTTAGTTAAGTCTAAATTAAAAATGTATGACAATATAACATAATTATATGATGATAAAACAAACTAGAGAATTCAATACGCTTTATAGAAAGATATGGAGATAAATATAATATTAATGTAAGAAATTAAGAAAAATATAGTATGTGAATAGATAGAGATATGAGGTAATTAAGGAGGAGATGATAAAGGAGAGAAAAAGTAACATCAAACAATTTATTAATATAGAGGCAAAGAATTATTGGAGATGATTAATAAATTTTCATAATTTATTAATATAGTTAGTAACAAATTATGAAAATTGTCTTAAATTTTTAAAATTAAAATCATTAAATTTTTATGTTTTTAAGGTTGCGTTTGAAGTTATTTTTCCACAACCTTAAAAAATTTAATGATTTTAATTTTAAAATTTTAAGACAATTTTCATAATTTGTTACTAACTATATTAATAAATTATGAGGCCTAAAGGAGTTGGTTAGAACAACCAGGGTGCAAAGAGGTAATTAGAAACTCGTGGAAATCCACAGAAGTAAAGGGGTGGAGTGGCTTTATACTTAAAGAAAAACTGCAGAGAACAAAGAAAGCCCTAAAGGAGTGGAGTGCTAAGTCGGTAACAGAGATGGACAGAAGAATAAAGGAAGCTGAAAATATGATAGCCGAGATAGATGAGAAAGGAGAGAACAACCAGCTATCCACAGATGAGATTGAAATGAGGAGAAGCAGCTTTCTTGATTTGTGGAAGAATTTAAGAATCAAGGAGAGGATGTCGCAACAAAAATCAAGGAAGATGTGGCTAAAAGAAGGAGATGCGAATACAAAATTCTTTCACAATTGCATCCAAGGAAGGTGGAGAAGAAGTGAAATAAATTATGTACAGATAGATGGTGAACAGTTCACTAGGGTGACAAAAATTAAAGAAGAGGTGGCTAAATATTTCCAAACATTGTTCACAGAAGAAAGATGGAAGAGACCAAAGCTAGATGGGGTTAGCTTCAAGCAAGTATCACAAGCGGATAACGAGCTTCTCAAGAGAGTATTTTCAGAAGTGGAAGTTAAAGAAGCAATATGGGATTGCGATTCTTCCAAATCTCCAAGCCCAGATGGATTCAATTTCAGATTCATTAAAGAGATGTGGGAAGATATAAAGCCGGAGGTAGTTGCTTTCATTCAGGAGTTTCACAAACATGGTAGAATTGTCCGTGGATCCAATGCATCCTTCATTGTGTTAATCCCAAAGACAGAAAACCCCCAGAGAATTGAAGAGTATAGACCCATTTCTCTTATAGGGGTCATGTACAAGATCATAGCAAAGCTGTTAGCGAACAGGTTGCGAAAGGTGCTACCCAAGGTTATCGGGGAGCAGCAGATGGCATTTATTGGGGGTAGACAATTAGTGGATGGTGTTATCATTGCAAATGAAGTCATTGATGAGGTCAAAAGGAAGAAGAAGAATTGCTTCATATTTAAAGTAGACTTTGAGAAAGCTTATGACAAAGTATGCTGGGAATTTATGGATTACATGATGATGCGGCTAGGATTCAATGAAACTTGGAGGAAATGGATATTGGAGTGCCTAAGATCAAGTTTGGTTTTTGTTCTAATTAATGGTAGTCCAACAAATCAATTCTCGGTTAGCAAAGGCATACGACAAGGAGACCCGCTATCGCCATTTCTTTTCTTGATAGTGGTAGAAGGGTTGAATGGTTTAGTGGCCTCGGCAGTGGAAAAAGGAATATATAAAGGAGTGAGGGTAGGGAATGAAGGTGTCATGGTGTCACATTTACAATTCGCGGATGACACGGTATTTTTCGAGGAGGCAACAAAAGATAACATAAAAGTGGTGAAGGCTATTATGAGGACCTTCAAGCTGGCTTTAGGACTAAAGATCAATTTCGGAAAAAGCCATTTAATGGGGATGGGAGTAGCGGAGAGTTGGCAAACAAAAATGGCATACAAATTGCACTGTAAAAAAGGGGAACTTCCATTTAAATACCTGGGAATCCCAATTGGGGGGAACAACAGAAAGAAATCAATGTGGCAGTCAATGGTACAATTAGTTGAGAAGAAACTAGCTAGCTGGAAGGGCTGATACCTTTCTATGGGAGGTCGTATCACGCTCATCAATTCAGTGTTATCTTCTCTGCCCGTGTTCCTAATGTCAACCTACTTAATCCCAAAATGTGCACTCCTTTCAATTGATAAAATTCATAGACGTTTTTTATGAGGCGGGGGGGCGGAGGAGAGGAAAATAAATTAGGTAAGTTGGGGGGATGTATGTAAAAGTAAAGTTAAGGGAGGGTTGGGAGTGAGAGAATTAAGGAAGTTTAATTTGGCATTGATGGGGAAATGGTGGGGACGTTTAGCAAAAGTAGATAAGGGACTATGAATGAAAATAATTACAGCGAAATATGGTAAGAGTGGGAAGCATTGGATGGACTGGATCAAAGAAAACAATGGAGGGGGATCTTTATGGTGGAGAGATGTGTGTTGCCTTAATAGAGTCAATGAGGAGAGTGTAGGATGGCTATCGGAGGGATTTAGAATGAAAATTGGGGAAGGAAAATCAGCCAGCTTTTGGTGGGATAATTGGGGAAGGGAGGGTTGCCTTGCTAACAAATTTCCTAGGCTGTATCTTCTATCAATAGGGAAGGAGAATACATGCAATCAAATGGGCAACATAAGGAGTGGATCATGGGAATGGAAGTTAACATGGAGAAGAAATCTATTCGAATGGGAAGTTGGAGAGGTCGTGGAACTCAAAAGGATGATAAAAGGGCGTCAAGATTACTCAAGGATGCCCTAACAAATGGGAATGGATTCACGACAAGAAGGGACACTACTCAACAAAAACAATGTACCACCTATTAGCAACTGATCAAAGCGGACCAAGTGGATCTACAATATTCAAAAGAATATGGAACCCAATTCTCCTGACCAAAGTATCAGCTTTCAACTGGCAACTAATGTTGGATAGAATACCAACCAAGGTGAATTTGCTGAAAAGAGGGATTATTAAAGACATGGAGGAGAGCAAGTGTGTTGTATGTGAAGAACCAGAAGAGGACTCAGCAGATCTATTTTTAAGGTGCAGGATGACCCAATGGCTGTGGGAGGCATGCGCCAAATGGTGGGGGGCCGAGGCAAAACTCAACATCGACTGTTCGAAGACTTTCGAAAAATTTGGAGAATGGAGCAAAGAGACACAAACAAGACAAGGATGGGATTGCATATGGAGTACGGTTGTGTGGACTGTGTGGCTTGCTCACAATCAGAAATTATTCCAGCACAAAGAGATAAATGCGAGGAAGCTGTTTGAATTAATTCAACTTAGGTCTTTCATATGGGTTAAAGCAAGCAATGACAGGTATGCCTTCACTTTATCTGATTGGCTACTTAATCCTGTTGAACGCATGAAAGATAGATGTGGAAGAAGGAAAGTCATCAATGGAAGGGTCGGTTGTAAAGTAATGACCTCTTGATTGTCTTCTTAGTTGTGTAAAATGGGTTGAGTACCCCTTGTACTCATTTCAATAACAAATAGTCAAAAGATATTCAATAATAACCAACCATATAATGAATTAACAATGTTAAGGCTTATATTATATATATCACACATATTTAATGACTATGATTGAAAA